AATAGCTATATATATATATTAATTTTACCTATATAGTAGCTAAAATATATTATTAATACCTATAGTAATAATTTATAATAATAATATATCACTATAGTTAGAGATTTTAACTATAGTTAGAGACTTCTATTATATTAAACTAAAAAGTATTAAAATAGATTATCTTATTTATAGATCTAAAATTATAGTAATTCTATAACTTTTATATATATATAGTAGTAGTATTAAATCTATAGCTATAAGTAGACTTTTCTATAGTTAAATATATTATATAAGAAAATTATATATATAGTTAAACTTTACACTACTTTTACTATATTACTCTTCTTCCTTATCCTCCTCTAAATAATATATCTCTATTAATAATATATTACTTAAGATTTCAATCTAATTATTTTTACTACCTTACTTAACTTTATTTTATTTGATCTATAACTATATAAGCAGTATCTATAATATTAATAGTAGTAGTAATAAAATAAAACTAAAAAGTTTTAAAATACCTATAAAGTTAGCTATATTTAATAATAAATAGCTTTATATATACTTACTATATTAACTAACTTTAACTAGTATATTATAGATCTCTTACTTAATAGATTAATATAGTATTAAGGTGTTAATATATTAAGATAACCCTAACTTACCTAAAACTAATACTATAGAGTTTTTAATTAGTACTACTATTATCCCTCTTAGTAATCTAGTATATATTCTTATATAAATATCTCCCTCTAACTCTTAATAGTTTAAATAAAGTTTAGAGTAAAATATTATATTAGAGATAGCGTTAGACTACCCTCTATAGTAGGCGCTATTATCTATAAAGGATTTAATTAAGTTCCTAATATCTTCAGTAAGATCTTAAGTAAAACCCTATTTAATAAACTAAATATTTAGTAACTTACAAACTACCTATAAACTACTATCTACTAATTATAATTTCTATAGCTTCTTTTTAAACTTTTTATTAATATTATATTACTTATTATAAATAGATATAAACTACTTAATAAAGCTAGCTACTTAATCTAAAGTTTTTTAAGGTAAATCTAATACTACTAATAAGGATAAATAAATTAAAAGTGTGATATTTAGTTAATAAGTACTTAGAAGGTTTAATAGTAGAAGAGTTAGTAATAAATACTATAAGATATTTATATATAGCTAATATACTACTAATACTAGCGCTAGTAGTAGTAGCTATATATATAGGTTAGGATATTAAAAATAATAATCTAATACCCTTATATTACTATATATATTAATAATAGTATTACTATTAGTGTTAGTTAGGCTAGATCTTAACCTTAATAATAGAAGTATAGTATTTTTAGCCTTCTCTTCTATTATTACTATTATTTCTTAATTATTATTAACCTTAATAATATTCTTATTTCTCTTACTTTAGTATTTTTAATCCTCTATAAACTAGTTATAAAGAATCTCACTAAGTAGTTCTTTAGGTAGTTCTATATTAATAATGTTAGTCTATCTAGTTATAAGAGCTTTTATTTACTTCTCTATATAGTAAGATTTAATCTTATAGTGCTTTTAGCTTAATATATAATATTAATTAAACTTCTTATCGCCTAAACTATTCTTATATTTCTAATACTCTAAATAAATATATATATAGAGAAGTTATCTATATATACCCTCCTTCTAATACTTAATATTTATAAGATTATTAAGCTTATAATTAATTACCTCTTATATACTAGCTAAAACGCTTATTTAGCTACCTTTTTGAAGTGTTTATATATTAATTACTATACTATTAGAGATTAGTATAACGCTATATTATTACTTAATAGTGAAGTAGACTTTACCCCTCTCTTTAGCTTATTTAAGAGAGGGAATAATATTAACCTATAGAATATTTAGCTAAATAACCCCTCTAATAGATAGATAGACCTAAATAAAGATTAGTATTAGTTTAGATATATTAGTAAGCTTCCTCTAAGTAATAATAATAATAATATTAGCCTTCTTTAGAATATATAAGTAAACTACTTCTACTTTAAATTAGGTACTATTATCTACTTCTTAGTCTCTATTATTTATATCTAATATATTAGTAATACTAAATCTATTATATATAATACTCTTAATAATTAGATTAAGAATAAGTAAATTATTACCCTTAAGTACTAAGCTATAAATAACCTAGATTTATAGTAGAGTTAGTTCTTTATTACCTATATTATCCTCCTCTTTAAATATATTATAGAATAATATAAATATATTATTAGTATTATAATAAGAGGTTATAAGTATATTATCTATAAATTAAGTAGTTTAATAAGGGGTTAAGTTAACTAAGGTTAAGTCTAGTCGAAATAATAGTATTAATAAAGGTAGGGTACTTTAGAGCTAGATTATATATAGTAGATCTTTCTTTTACTTCCTCTATATTATTATTACTTTTTAGTAAGAGGATACTTTTAGAGCTCTTTATAATAATAGAAGTGCTATAAATATATACCTTCTTTATAATATAAACTTAGAAGCTATTAAATTATTAGTCTTAGGTCTAGCCTTAGTAATAATAACTTTAGTAGTAGCCTCCTTAGTAGCCTCCTTAGTAGCTTCCTTAGTAGTAGTAGCTTAATAAGCCCTCTTAGTAGGCGTAATAATCCTAATTAATAGTGAGGTAGAGTATTAAGGAGGATCTCTAGTAGTATCCTATATTAGTTATTATATATATTATTATTTCTATATACTATTAGTAATAAGTAATAGATAATACCTAGATAGATTATTATCTACCTACTAAGCTACGCAGTAGCATTTAAGAGGTATCATAATACCTTTAGACAATAAGATTTAATAGGAATAGATTAATTAAAGCTATTAAAATAGGTTAATTACTATACTATAAGTATCTACGTAGTATTAGGCAAATTTTTATATATATATAGGGATTATGCGTGCGTAATTTTAGTAAAAAGGAGGGGCGGACGCTGTTAACGTAACGGACTGTATCCACTTGAGATGTCTGTCCACTTCTGAATGATCATTGGGCTAGACACGCGATCGGTCATCACAAGCAACGTGTGAATTGAAACCAAGGCATTAAATCGCCAAGCCTAAGGTAGTGTTTGCTCTAGAAAGGTACGGCGAAAGGGTGCGATACTCAGAAATATTACTGCCAGCCACTTTTTGGCACACTTGGACCTTCTACTCGACGCAATACAGGGGACATCTTTTGTGGTTCCCAATTCCCTCCTAACTCCATACTCCATATCACTACAGGGAACTAGCATGCACGCCTTCGCCTCAGCACTCTTTTCGGAGGGGCATTTTGCCTTTCACACCCATATGTGAATTCGACGGTAGAGACCACCAATTCACGGGCAGGCTATCAGGGTCATTAGCGGCGTGCCTGGGGCAAATCTAACGCTGCGGGCCGTCCACAACGGTGCTATGGGTCTATCTCAATCAAAGTGGCGTTTACGGCACTGACAATAACTGTGGCTGACCATAGTGCGGAAGCATCTACTTGCCGCATGAGATATACTCTCGTAAAGACCAGGATACCGTTGTCTAGAGCTCCAGTGATTGAGAAACCGAAGGGCGAGATGTCTTTATTTCAAAAAAAAAAAAAAAAAAAAGTTTCTATTGACGTTGAGCCTTCTTTGCTTATTTCGTGGCTGACATTCCGGTCTTGCGTGTAAGAGCGGCCGTGGCTGCTGCTCGACTCATAACATTGTCACCTTGACGGCTGCTAGCAGCTAGAGCGCAAAGGTGCAGTGAAAAGTTGACAAACTGAGTTTTTCCGAAATATTATCTGAGGTCAGTCTCTGTGTCTAATGGGACCATTTTCTTTTCTTTCCTCCGGAAGAGCAAACAATCTGTTCACAAGGACACAATTCCTACAAAGTCCGTTCTTTTAGTTTTCCTGGCCTTCAACGGCGCTCTCGGAGTCATGACAGAAAGATCATTTCCTCAATTCTCGAAGTTTCCCATAGAGATCAAACTCTTGGTCTGGGAACAATTCTACCTCGAACCTCGTCACTTCATGATCAAAGAGTATCAGTGGAACAACGGCGACAGAAGAGGGCTACCTAGCAAGTCGAATACCTCCTGGACCTTCAACACGTTGACATGGTGTTTCCACGCAGCAAGTTCCTCGAGCAAACACTACAACGACATCGACACTACCATCGATAGAGTGTCCAGCTCTGTGGCCTCACGTCTTCGCCCCCGGTTCTGGCTGCCCACATGGTCCTTATTCCACGAATATAATCATCTAGAATATTATGATAAGAATTGCTGCACATGGTCCTCGGTACCTTCACGTGGTGCCCTCGAACCATGGATGAATCAGCACAGAATCTCAGCCGACCCTCGCATCAACTGGAACACGGATTTCATTCACTTCGCATTCGATCCTAAACTTTGTTTTCCGCGCCAGTTTGATTGGTTAGCCAATATCCAGAATGTTGTGACAGGCGCATTCTGGAATCCTACCACCCCAAGTTGCAGACACTACCGTTGGTTGGTGGAAGACATGTCGTCATGGGATAGTCACAACAGGCTCAAGAAGCTCAATGAACATTGGTTACTTTTATGGCATCTGTACGGAATCATACAAACCTGGGTTCTGGACCAAACAAGCCATACGGAACCGAACTCGTGCGCCTGGTGGTGCAGCACGCCGATACATACATATCCTCCCATATGGCCGTGTTTCGTCCGGAGGTCGGATTGTGGTCAATTGCGGGAACTCGAAGTCACCCCAGAATGCTACATCTTGTCGGAGAGGGATATCACGAAGAATATACTCTTGCGTGGTAGGAGATGAAGTGGAATCCACCTGGAAGATGTTCAATGAGCTCTAGATTCTATCAGTGGCTTATGTCTATCTATGAAAGTATGCTGTATAGTTTTGTTCATCCTTGTTGTCTTTTCCTTTCCGCATCTTTATAACCTTCCGACTGGAATCAAGCCTTCACTGGTTTGATCTTAGCGCGAAACGCAAGTCTCCCAGTAGTTCAGTTCTTGCTTTTGGCATTCTCCTCATCTGCCACCTCCTTAGCCATCATCCTCTCGGCTCTCCACTGCTGGCCCCAGTTCCAATGAATCACAGCTAACGGCGTCACGGATACCGTGATCAGCGCTAAGCCTAGAAACGTCGGTCCAACTCCCGCAAGAGCGATCATTTGCTCAACAAAGGCAACGCCCACGGCACCCAAGCTGCAGCGAACCAAATTGTTGATGGCAGTAGCACTCGCGCCCTTGCCTGGGCAGAGGTCTGATACCAATGTCTGGTTCAGAGCGAAGACAGCGTTGCTGGTAGCTGCAATGAAAAATTGCAACACTAGCGGGACTGCGATCCAGCCACCGAGGCTCGTGATCGAGGGGTACGCCATGCTAAAGCCATAACCAGCTGTTGTAATAACGAAGATAACCACAGCCCAAGGAAGTCGTTGCAAACGTGCTCGTTCAATGGGGAAGTCTGCCGGCACATCCTTTGATGATAGCTTCTTCTTGGACGGCTCGTTTCGAGCTAACTTGTATGCCACTTCGGCCGCAGCAAAGTCCTTGTTCATCAGTTTACCAACGATTGTCGATCCAACAATAGTTCCGAGGCCTGTGTGAGGGATGGTCAGTACTTGTTATGAACTTTCATAGAGATAAAATGACTCACCGTTGGGGAGATTGCAGAGTCCGATCTGGAGCTCGTTCAAACCAAAGCTTTCCTTGAAGAGACCCGTAGTACTGGATGTCACCATACTCCAAATAGCGTAGATGATGCCGCCAAATACAAGGTTGATAAGAATGTCCTTCTGGATCAAGAGCCTTAAGGGCTCCACGAATGTCATGAAAGTCACCTTCTTTCGCGGCGAAGACTTCACCGAGCTCTGTTCAACGTACTCGGGATCTCCGCGGACGTATCGGGCGAGGGGTCTGTACATTCCATCGAGTCGAATGCTACCATTGCCGGCAATACTGCGCATGGTCTCGGGAAGGAACGTAATGATGACGGCGAGAGTGATGGTTGAGATAATGAGGAGAAACACGAAAATCGAACGAAAGCCAAAGTAGTTGGATAGTAATCCGCCGAGGACGGGGCCGACGGCTATGCTAAAATTTCGAACTGTGTCATACCCATGAGCAATGATCAAGAGCCAGTTCAATGAAGATGGTATTCTTACTCGCTTGGTAAAAGCTGATGAAACCTCCTCTTTCGGAAGAGGGAGAGATATCCTGAATGACGCCATTCCCTACGCAGTGTATTAGTGCCTGACGACTCGATGACTTGTGCTTCTTTTCTGCATCTCATACCAATACTGACTGTCGAAGCACTTCCGGCTGCCTGAAGGCCCCTGAAGACCAACAGGATTGCAAAGCTGGGAGAGAAACTCAAAGCAATGTTGGCAACAATGTATACAGCGAATGAAGCGATGTAAATGGGTCGTCGGCCGAGAACATCAGATATGGATCCCCAAAGTAATGGAGATATGCCTTGAATGATCAGGTACGATGTGATAGTAAGAGACACCATGTTCAAGCTAACTTTCAGATCCTGGAGTAAAGACTAATTAGCTGAAGTTGATTTCATGTGACCTCTCCAACACACCTGAGCAATCGCGTCCAGAGATGGGAAGTAGATGTTCGATGAAAGACCAGAGAATAAGCCAGCGGCCCCGATGATCACAATAACCATCCATTTTTCATTTTTCGAAAAGACGTGATAGGGGGGATCGGGCGATGGGCGAGGTGTTGATGCGCCAGACGAATCGTAGTCGTAGAGCTTCTCTGGCCGGTTGCTGGAAGACATGTACACCAAGGGTAGCGGCGGTAGGGACTTGTGACGGTTCTGGGCTCGCAGAAAGAAGTCGTATTTGCTGTTATCGCCGGGGATGTATGAGTCTTCCCGGAAGACAACACCATCGGATTTGCCAGGTCTGTGGCCCAAGTCCCGCGCCAGGCGGCCTTGGGCGTTGGAATTCTTCGAAGCTTCACCAGCCACATTGTCGGTCATCTCCATGTACTCGCTCGGGTATCGAGGGAGCGTCATCGCAGTCTAAAGTCAGATTTCTAATGAGGGGCATGAACAGAAGACAGAAGCAGAAACTCATAAAACAGGCACAGACTTTTAAGTGAAAGAAGAACGAAGCATAACGATCGAGGATATCTTGAGACAGCATGTCGAATTCATATCAAGAGCCCCCTTAATATGGCGTCTTAAACCTCCTTAACGCCGATGAAGATAAGTAACCGTTCCAGTCTTACAAGCTTTCACGGAGCACGGGCATCGGGTGGGCCAACGTAGTAGCGTAGCAGCCACGCAAGTCTTCAGCCGCTTCAACGGACCGGCGCCGTACTTACCAGGGATGGCTGGGTCCCACCCGCGGCCTCCGTGGGTCTGTCTGCTGGGGAGTCTCGGTTGTCTTAATCGGAAACGGGCAGGTTTATCTGGTCTACCAGGTCTCAGCGAACATTCTCTCGTGTTGCAGGTTGCACGCGCCATTGGTCGGCACCGTATCTTCGCTTGTGACGACCCAGAGGCTGAGCGTGTGCAATCATGCTCAGTGGAGAGTCTTGTTAAACAAGCTCATATCTTTCCTTGTTGTGCGGGCCCCGAAACGTCCCGCTGGCTGCAACTACCGGCCTGCCCGCATCCTCCCGGTATCTCAAGATCGTTTCGATCACCGCCGAGCCCCGTCTTGGCGCCTGAATCCCCTCATACTTTGATTGGGCTTGATGGATCATGAAGTCTTGGCTTGACATCGGGATCTGAAAGTCGAGATAATGTGGACTTTCATGAGGGGTACTTAAACCGTAAGAGTCGGCGCCGGCACGTCATTCGAATGTGGAGGATAAGGCAAGAACATCACCGATTTCTGATCCGCCCCAACATCTCAGGATTTCACGGTTTCCACTCGGTTTCCCACACCCGTTGAAAAACTTCCGACCAGTCTAGCCAATGGATAGGCGCTCAGCATACGTACCCGGCACGGGTGTTGTGCTAGTGGTGATATTGGGCAGTGTTGGTAAAATATCCCCCCTGGTCAGCTCATTTGCAAGACTACTGTTTCTGATTACCCTTGAAAACAGCGGGAGCGTCGATCCTTGCGGCAGCCTTCATGTTGTGGCGGAAACGGATGGCAGGGAGACACAACAGGTAGGCGCGTAATCTTTTCACTCCATTGAACACTTCGTATCCGTGGCAGTGCTGACCCTGGTACGATGGTAAACAGACACCGCTAAGATAGCGAGAGAAGTATACTTGATGTGTCAGTTTGGACGGTTGTCGGCGAACCAAGAGCTTGCTCAAGATGTAAGCGGATCAGGGAGACACCTTGCATATGTAGAGAAGCCGCGCAATATAAGTCTCCGGCCTATGGCTCATCATTCTCAATATCATGGAACAGTCAGTCGTGGTGGAGTCAAGCATGAATCCCTCACAAATGGGATGCTAAGAGCATGCTCCGTTTTGGGGGGTAAGTTTCCGAGCGGGTCCAATGGGAGCCACACCCCAGCCGGGGCAACCTAAATCGCTACTTAGATAAGCTGTTGTGACAGAGCGATGATACTATATATGGAGCTCTTCCGAGACGAACGACCCCAAGTGGTCCCGGGAGATCACTATCCCTCACAGATCACTTGAATGTCTGGCAGCATGTGGGTATCGGCGCATTCAAGACATCTGTACATTCAGATGCATCCTCCTAGACTGAAAACGAGCTCGGTGAGACTTATGATGTGTCAAGTGAAAGATCCCAGTCTTCGTGTGTAAACATGCGGCGGTGCGGCGGAGACGGGCGTAGATCGCTGTCCACTGTCCCACTACTTGATGTCAAGGTGCGTTGGTTCAGGTGCTTAATCGCTTATAGCCGTTGCCAAGGAATAATTGAGAATACTCTTTCTTGGCGTGGGCACATAAAGGTTTTGACGGTTAGATAGACGGGGGAGTTGTCTACGAGAGTTTGACGCGTCAGAAAATTGCTTATCGTAAGTAGGTCTGTGTCTCCCGATCGACAGTCTTCGGAATCTTAGTATCCAGGCTTGGAGATCCTCACTTATTTTTCCTCCTCGAACATACCTTAGTCTTATTATAGCATCATTTTAAGGGAAGGGCCTTGCACCTTCAACTCGCAATAGTGAAGCCCACCTAGACATCCGACGACCATAGGACACGGGTGGGATGAACAGCTTTCACACATGCAAGGGCGGTAGTAGCGCTTGACTCAAAACCCAGAGGCAATCCGAAAAGAGAATTCTATCAGTCGGCACAGCCGGGGCATGGATCGTGTCACGGAACCTTTGTGAGAGGGACTGTGCGTGGACTTTGAGAAGCGGATCAGGGTGTAAGTCGGACGTAAGAGAATCACATCGCCTAAGTTGCGTCTGAAAGCCTCATCCCATGACTTTTTCACGTGTCACTGTACGCTCCCATGAAGTATTGAACGTAGATATCTGCAGAATCTGAGCCTATCCCGTCTGAACACTAAAGATGAACTGACATCTATGAGGTGCCGATGACAGATGTGGAAGGTTCCAACAATGATCTCATCTAGAGCTTCATGTGGCAAACGATAGCAGTCATCCGAGATCTTCCTTCTTATCTGAGGAGAGTGAGAGATCATAAACGTTGGCAAGGTTACAGCACAGGTCTAGTCAATGTCGGCTGCAAGATCTTCAGGGGCTTTTCATCGTCGAGACCATGAGTGCAGACCAGCCAAGAGATGTACGAGGAAAGGCAACGTGCCTTACGTGCCTTCCCAAGTGTCACTTATGCTGCTTCCACCCGTCTTGGTACCGAGAAAAGATTGACGTGCAGCTTTCAGGTTGTGACGGTTTGATTCGGACTGGAGCGATGTTGTAGTTGGATGTCAAGGATAGGCAGGGCAGCAAGGGCTCGGTGGTCCGCAGGAGCACAAGAACGAAGGAGGTTCAACCCCCTGGAAATTGAAAATTTGACATAGAAAGACGTGAGTAAATCAAGCAGCACAGTCCGAACGATACGAAATTACAGCCCAGCTACAGGCGTTTACTACGACCTCTGCGTCGTGGAGCAATGTTTTCCCTTCTCCCATCAAAAGGACCAGTAGAAGTGCCAATGCAAGATCTAATTGACAGGGCTCATCGCCAGTGGCTAAATCTACTACCAGCACGTGTTGGACAATTACGTTTGCGAATCCAAGTGATCTGACTCTGTTACGTAGTCTGCTATGTTGTGGGCAGCAAACTCGGCTTAGCTCGGCGATATCCATGTACCGCCGAGGTCTCCGAGGGCGACACGATGGTATCAGACCCGTACGGGGGCCTGTACAAGACCGTGCTGATACTGAGTCTCCTTTCATCCCTTTTGGCTTTCCCTAGACCCTGTCACAATTTCGTTTTAGTTATTTTCGTCTTGTGTTTCCATGGGTCCACGTCGAAGGGAGCTTCAGCGTAGCCTCATCCGAGCCAAAAGAAAGCTCGCCCTGCTTGATGAAACAGCCATGAATGCCAATTCCCGATAAGGTCTCAATCCTAGCTCAGTTGTGAAGCCTCGTGTGCTCTTGGGCAGAAATGGGCTGTTCTGGATGCCAAGTGCGCTGTAACTTGACGTGACAGGTAGACAGTTACAGTCGCTGGTATCGCGTACTTCAGGGCCCAACTTCTCAGCATCATTGTCCGAGCAACTCTGCGTATTCTCCGTATTCGTCCGGAATGACTCGCCATTGACAATATGTCTATGATCACATATATTACCAGTCCTGTGGCTTGACAGGATGCTGTTCATCTTCGACAGCAAGGTCCGTCCTGGAATACCAGCTCAAGTCTAGCCTCCGAACACAAGCTGTTTCTTGGTCAGGACTCGGAATTGCTGCCCACGAACGCCGTAGAGTACTACAACAAGGCACCTGAGCTTTCAGTACCGCTTCTGTTGTTATTGATGAGGGTCTACAGCATCTACTCGGAAATGCTGGGTGCGCCGCGACTACTGACTAGACAAGCGTATGAGACGAAACAAGGCCAACCATGATGCCAGTGATGTCCCGTAAGCTTGTTCTGTAAATACTGGAGCGTCGATCTTCGAACTTGACAGCCGAAACTACGCCGGATCAAACTTACGCGGCGTCTTAGTCAAGCCCGCACTCCGCGACCCTTGAAGCCTTCTACACCGGCAGAGACCCAATCCGACGGCTTCGAGCACAAGTGACACAAGTGGGTAGATTTCTAATTTGATCACGGTCAGTATTATGAACGATCCAAATGTTGCTTGGTGTGGAACAAGGAGAAGGCGCAGCCAGCTTTGTGTCGCAATCTCTAGCGGCCTTCGGGGACAATGTCTCTGGCGTGGGGTGTAGCTGGAGAGGTTGACAGCTCGCCCGAGCGCGGTGCCCCAGATTGCAAGTCGGCTACGATTCCCGACGCTATGGGAAGTAAGGGGCTTGGAGGCTTGGTGAGCTTATCCCCCCGCGTTTACCCATCCTATCCGGTCTGGTTCCAACCGGCGTAATCCCATTTATCCTGTACACTATTCGCTCATGACCTCCGCGTTCTGAAGGCTCTCGCCAATGTGGCGCCGACGCGTCAACAATGTCTTCATTGATATGCCAGGAGCTTTTTAGTTGATACTGCGATTTCTCGCATTCGCTAGAAAGCACACTTAAATACTCACCCATCGCCGCTTGCTGTCCCCCCTTCCAAACGCAGATGAGCAACCTCTCTCTCACCGCGCACCGCCGATTCCACATGCGCGAGCAGCTTTCCCCGGGAGTCACAAATTCCACAATCACATCACAATCAAAGAAGGCTCTTTGTCGCTTGGCGACTCCTCCTTTGCCTACATGAAACCATGAGGTTGTCTTGGGCGGCGAGGTTTCTCATCAGGTACGCGTACATCTGTGGCAGCACTGTCAACATCAGGAGCTTACTTGTACCACCGACATGGGCATACTTTCAACTCGGCGCCGGGTTTCAGGTTGTCTGAGAGAACTGGGCATGTCACGAATGGATGTATTGGAATCGATTGAAAGTCGTCCGTCACAGATGGATGATGGATAACTGGGGCCGGTCTCAACA